AGTTGTTGCCAACCTGGCCTCCTTAACACTCAGGAGGACCAGTCGGTTCTGGGTCCCTGAACACAGTGCTCTCCTGGGCATATATGAGAAAGGCAGTCCCTCAGGTATGTCGGACCCTGGCCATAAAGGGCTTTAAAGGCAAAAACCAGCACCTTGAAGTGAATCTGGTATGCTATAGGCAGCCAGTGTAACGCCTTTAGCACAGGCTGGATGTGCTTCCGAATTGAGAGTCCCATCACCAGCCTGGCCCGCGGCGTTTTGCACCAGCTGCAGCTTCCGGATTTGTGACAAGGGCAGCCCCATGTAGAGGGCATTACAGTAATCCAGTCTCGAGGTTAACAATTCATGGGTCACTGTTGCCAAGTCGCCGTGTTCGAGGAAGGGAGCCAACTGCCTTATCAGCCTAGGCCTCCATTGTTAAGGAGGCATCCAGGAGCACCCCCAAACTCCTAACCTGGCACCAACGGTGCCCCATCGAAACTCAGGAGCGGGATCCCTACCCCCAGACCGCTGCGGCTCAGGCACAGGACCTCTGTCTTCATTGGATTCAATTTCATCCAGCTCAGCCTAAGCCAATCAGCCACGGCTTGTAACGTCTGGTCTAGAACTTCTGGTTCGGAGTCGGACCGACCGTCCAACAACAGATAAAGCTGGGTGTCATCCGCATACGGATGACAACCCAAGCCATACCTCTGGGCAATCTGGGCAAGAGGGCGCATATAGATATTAAGAAGCATCGGGGACAACACAACCCCTTGTGGCACTCCACATTCCAGCGGGTGCCTCCGGGACAGTTGATTCCCCAGCGCCACACTTTGCCCCCGACCTTGGAGAAAGAAAACAAGCCACTGTAAGGCTGGTCCCTGAATTGTTAATTAATGCTTTGAGGGGAAGCTTCATGTGTGTAATTTTTAACTTTAAAGGTTAAAAAAAATCACATTTCTTTGAGCTTTTATATTGGAATGACTGAAATAAGAAAAAGTCAGCAATATACAGAGGAGTCTTTAATGGATCATTGTCAAAATAACTTAATGCTGTTCTATAGGAATGAATCCTGTTCAGAACATTTGTTAAGAATTCCCTTCGGGAAGATGTGCATAAACCACACCCTTCTCAAGACACCCTCTCCAATCTTTTCATGTCTGTCTAAGAAATTCTTGCAAAGTTGAGATCCTTTTGAGGCTTGTACCTGCTAATGATCCATACAGACTTCAGGCCTGTATACACTATGTTTGGACCTGCTATTAGAGCAGGATGCCACCAGTGAAAAGTTGCTTGAACACTGAGGGGGGAAATTGAAGCATTGGCTATCACTGTGCTTTTCTCAAAGTACTTACAGGGCTGAGCAAAACAAAAGGAAACTGAACTTGGTTAGTATAACAAAAATTATGGATAGTGGAACAAAAATATGGAAATATATTACTCTTTTATATTGATCCATCTAGCCTAGTACAATCTGTGACTGATAGCAGTTCTCTCAGAGGACTTAGAGGCCTTTCAAACCCACTTAAAATCCTCCGAAATGGACAGACTGGGTCTAACAGCTTGATCTTGTTGTTGTTCTTCAGTCGCACAGTCGAGTCCGACTCTTCGCGACCCCATGGACCAGATCACACCAGGCCTTCCTGTCTTCTGCCGTTCTCTGAAGTTTGCTCAACTTCCTGTTCGTTGCATATATGACACTGTCTAACCATCTCATCCTTTGTCGTCCCCGTCTTCTTTGACCTTCAATCTTTCCCAGTATCAGGGTCTTCTCCAGTGAGTGCTCCCTTCTCATTTGGTGGCCAAAGTATTTGAGCTTCAGTTTCATATCTGGCCTTCCAGGGAACAGTCAGGGTTGATTTCTTTTAGGATTGACTGATTTGATCTTCTTGCAGTCCAAGGGACTCTCAAGAGTCTTCTCCAGCACCATAGTTCAAAAGAATCTATTCTTCGGCGCTCGGCCTTCCTTATAGTCCAACTCTCACAGCCATACATGACTACTGGGAATACCATTGCTTTGACCATGCGGACTTTTGTTGGCAGGGTGATGTCTCTACTTTTTATCATGCTGTTTAGGTTCGCCATCGCTTTCCTCCCAAGGAGCAGGCGTCTTTTAATTTCATGGCTGCAGTCACAGTCTGCGGTGATCTGGGATCCCAGGAACGTGAAGTCTGTCACTACTTCCACAGCTTCCCCTTCTATTTGCCAAGGAGTGATGGGGCCGGATGCCATGATCTTAGTTTTTTTGATGTTGAGCTTCAAGCCCACTTTTGCGCTCTCCTCTTTTACTCTGAGCAAGAGGCTCTTTAGATCCTTTTCACTTTCAGCCATTAGAGTGGTATCATCTGCATATCTGAGGTTGTTGATCTTTTCCCCAGCAATCTTAATTCCCGCTTGTGATTCATCCAGGCCAGCATTTCGCATGATGTACTCTGCATATATATTAAATAAGCAAGGTGACAGTATACATCCTTGTCGTACTCCTTTTCCTATGCTGAACCAATCAGTTGTTCCGTATCCGGTTCTAACTGTCGCTTCTTGGCCCTTATACAGGTTTCTCAAGAGACATGTGAGGTGGTCTGGTACTCCCATCTCTTTAAGGACCTGCCATAGTTTGTTGTGATCCACACAGTCAAAGGCTTTAGCATAGTCAATGAAGCAGAAGTAGATATTTTTCTGGTACTCTCTTGCTTTCTCCATAATCCAGCGAATGTTGGCAATATGATCTCTCGTTCCTCTACCTCTTCGAAACCCAGCTTGTACTTCTGGTAGTTCTCTATCCACGTACTGTTGAAGCCTAGCTTGTAGGATCTTGAGCATGACCTTGCTAGCGTGTGATATGAGTGCAATTGTGCGATAGTTTGAACATTCCTTGGCATTGCCCTTCTTTGGGATTGGAATGTATACTGATCTTTTCCAATCCTGTGGCCACTGTTGCGTTTTCCAAATTTGCTGGCAAATGGAGTGCAGAACTTTAACAGCATCATCTTCTAAGACTTTGAATAGCTCAGCTGGAATACCATCACCTCCACTAGCTTTGTTGTTAGTAATGCTTTCTAAGGCCCATTTAACTTCACATTCCAGGATGTCTGGCTCAAGGTCAGTGATTATACCGTCGTGTTTGTCAAGGACATTGAGGTCTTTCTTGTATAGTTCTTCTGTGTATTCTTGCCATCTTTTCCTAATCTCTTCTGCTTCTGTTAGGTCCCTACCGTTTTTGTCCTTTATCATGGCCAGCTTTGCATGGAACGCTCCCTTGATTTCTCCAATTTTCTTGAAGAGATCTCTAGTCCTTCCCATTCTATTGTTTTCTTCTATTACTTTGCACTGTTCATTCAGGAAGGCCTCCTTATCTCTCCTTGCTGTTCTCTGGAAATCTGCGTTCAGTTGGGTAAATCTTTCCTTTTCGCCTTTGCCTTTCGCTTTCCTTCTTTCCTCTGCTATTTGTAAAGCCTCATCAGAAAGCCATTTTGCTTTCTTGCATTTCTTTTTCTTTGGTATGGTGGTGATTGCTGCCTCCTGTACGATGTCACGAACCTCTGTCCATAGTTCTTCAGGCACTCTATCTATCAAATCCAGACCCTTGAATCTATTCTTCACCTCTACTGTATATTCATCAGGGATGCGATCTAGGTCAAACCTGAATGGCCTCGTGGTTTTCCCAATTTTCTTCAGTTTAAGTCTGAATTTTGCAATGAGTAGCTCATGATCTGAACCACAGTCAGCTCCAGGTCTTGTTTTTACTGACTGGATAGAGCTTCTCCATCTTTGACTGCAAATTATATAGTCAATCTGATTTCGGTGTTGCCCATCTGGTGATGTCCATGTGTAGAGTCGCCTCTTAGGTTGTTGGAAAAGGGTGTTCGCTATGACCAGTGTGTTCTCTTGACAAAACTCTGTTAACCTTTGCCCTGCTTCATTTTGCTTTCCAAGGCCAAACTTGTCTGTTATTCCGGTTACCTTTTGACTTCCTACTTTAGCATTCCAGTCCCCTATGATGATGAGGACATCATTTTTTGGTGTTAGTTCTAGGAGGTGTTGTAGGTCTTCATAGAACCGGTCCACTTCAGCCTCTTCTGCATCAGTGGTTGGGGCATAGACTTGGATTACTGTGATGTTGAATGGTTTGCCTTGGAATCGGACAGAAATCATTCTGTCATTTTTGAGATTGTATCCCAGTACTGCCTTTTGCACTCTCTTGTTGACTATAAAGGCCACACCATTTTTTCTACGAGATTCCTGGCCACAGTAGTAGATATAATGGTCTTCTGAGTTAAATCCGCCCATTCCTGTCCACTTTAGTTCACTGATTCCTAAGATATCGATGTTCAGTCTTGCCATCTCATTTTTGACCACGTCAAGCTTACCTTGATTCATAGATCTTACATTCCAGGTTCCTATGCAGTATTGTTCTTTGCAACATCGGACTTTCCTTTCACCATCAGACACATCCACAACTGAGCTTCCTTTCGGCTTTTTTATTTTAAGAAGGACGTGTCATTGAAGCTGGTAAGAAAACATCCAAGAAAAGTTGCATAGGGTTTCAGCATTGTTCCATATGCAGACCATGTTTCAAATTGGACATGCTGCTATCTATAAAATGCAAGGATCTGGCTTTCTTTCTCCCTTTTTCACATTGCTGCTTCACATGTTACAGTTTAGAAGCAGATGCAACCTAAATGTCTGTGATTTATTAATGAAATTAATGTGCTGCCTCTCCAGAGTTCTGCTTGAGGTGACTTAAAATCATCACGTTAAGCCTGCAGATCTAGCCTATACTTTGGGGCATTGCTGTTAAACTAAGATAATTCCTTATGGAATCTGGTCTAATGAACTATTGAACACTAGTGAGCTGGGGCAGAGCTGGGAGGTGAGGGTAATGGAAGGAACCTGTAGGAGTTAGGGTTCTGTGCTCACTATAGAGGTTGTCCTAGTTGCAAGCTCTGCACATTGATGTTATAATTGTGTTCTTAAATCACAGTGTTTTAATCACACTGTTTTATGTATGAAAAACTTAGGTATTGCTGTCCAGAATTCTGAGTGAACTGAAAAACAGTGATGATAATGAAAAGTCTCCTTTTAAAGACTGTACAATTGATGAACCGGTAATCTTGGTAAAATATAGCTTTTATCTCTTTCTGTGACTCTGAAGGTTTTCCTCTGATCACTCCTCTGGCTTTCTGGGAATCTCCTTATCTAGGCACTATTTTTATCTTGGAGTAGCTTAAGGACACTGTTAACTGTTCTAACTCAATTTACTTTCCCTCATTATAGCAATGGCAGGCGCACATTTCAGACATTTTACTGGGTATAGAACATGAAGGGGATCAATTGGGTTTAGAATGTAAGCAGCAATATTTTGTATCCAACTAATCACAATTTGAAAACACAATTTTGAATGTAAAATATTCTTATGGTCTGATTGCTGATGTGGGGGGCAGAGGGGAAATTTGTAGGCACCTCATACTGCTGCAGGTAGTAATGAGACCTGTAGTGTTTTAAACACTGAAAGTAGATCTGGCAATGATGTGATACTGTCTGAATTCTCTCACTTCTTTGTTATCCTTGTAACATTTTAACCAAGCACATGGTGTAATATCACTGTTTGTATTTATTTAAAACATTAATTATATCTTGCCTTTCTCCTCAGACTCCATGTATGTCTATGCCTTCCTCCCACATAATTGGCTTGTATCCCATGGTAAATTTACTCTAACAGGATGGGGAGAGGCAATTTTTGCCTATTTGTTCCTTATTACAGACCCACAATTCACCCCTCAAGCTTTTCTTGAGAGTCACCTGCTCCCTAGAAGCAGCATTTCACGGAAATTGTGGGCTGCCATGGAGGGAGGGGACAAGAAAGTTGTTTTGATTGAATGAAATGGCTTCTGTTTAGTGGAGATTTATTGGAGGATCCAAGCATTTGGAGGGGGGTGAGGAAATGCATGGTGTGATCAGATCACATTGTGGCATTGTGTTAGACCTTACAGCTAAGAGAGAACAAATACAGGAGTTTAGTGTCTCTTGAGAACATAAATTCTGCCCTGATATTGCAATTCTACTTACATAGAAGAGAAAATGATGACTAAGATAATTAGATTGAATGCAAAAGTGCAAGGTATGCACAGAAACAACTGTGTTAGTTGTAGTTTGGTTGTCAGCTTTGACCGGTGAGTCCCTGTGCTATTAATTTCTAAAATAAATATACATGTGCTCGCATGCACACACAGACACACATGTTACTGATAAACTAAATATACTTCCAACAGTGGTTCTTCTTTTTCTCTTTTCCCAACATGAAGGTGATGTGTATATCTTGCAATTATTGCAGAATTAAGATTATGGCATGAGCATGCTCATAACTGGTTCTGAATAGTTCAGACAGAAGACAGGATTCATCTTGGGTTTAATAGGACTTCTGTGTAGTACACCCCTTTTACAATGTGAAATATATGGTTTGTCTTCCTTAGGCTCCTAGTAGTCTTATGGAGACACTTGAACAGCATCTAAACAGCTTGGAAGGAAAGAAACCTGGGAACAGGTATGCAAAAAATACTCTAAATAGTGTTACAGTTTGCCATACCACAAGAACCAACTTATCAGTGCTGCAGCAAAAATTATCACCTGATCTTTTCCTCTATATTCCTCCCAAGAGTGAAAAATGTTTACAGCCTTAAAAGGAGTTAAGAGAATATCCAGAGTCCTGCCCAATTATACTTTCTTTCCTCCTGTCCCTCAAATACCTGCTGTACTCACAGTCATAACTGTGATGTGATCCACAGTAACCAGCCCTTTAAAATGGTTAACTGGCTGAGCAGCCCCTAAATGTTGCTGTCTCTAGTAGCAGAAGCAATGCCACAGACTACATAGAGTGTGTGCGCACACACTGTCCTGTTCTCCCTTCTTCCCTCCCTGCCTCCCTTGGCCTTAAAAGGAAAGAGTCCTGAAGCAGTATGTTGCAGCTTTGCCTTCCACAGTACATGGTATGTGCATCTATCATGGCGCTAGGTTGCTGTTCCTTTGTAATTCATAGGAATTATTCTAATTCTTTGGCATTGGGACGTAGCCAAAATAGCATTGAGTTGCTATGTTCAGTTGATAAGAAAACTCCATTTGTACCATCATGTCTTTTAGTGTTTTCATAAAAGGTGACTAGAGAAATACTTGGGCTATTTTCTCTGCTGCCTTGAGGAATAAATTAAGAGCCAACTGTCATTAACGCAACTTTTTTTGTGCCTCTGTTTTCTTTCTGTATATGGCTGTCTCGCAACAAAGTGAGGGGTAAGCAGATAATCTCTTGTGTTTGTGCATGTGTATATATTAGAAACCATAGCGAAAGGATAGACCTACATTGGTTTTAGCTCAATGAATGTCAGTTCATGTGTACAGTTTTGGAACAGTGGCTCGCATTTTAAGGTGCCCTTGTGGAAACAGAAGGTGATACTTCTGCAACTTCCATGGATTTTTCACTGGAGCTGCAGTTATCTGTGCTGCATCCCATGTTGCTCCCAAGGCTAGAGAAGATTCAGAAAGGCAGGAAAGATCCTTCTGTAAATGGAGCTATGTTCCTGGTTCTTCATTCCAACCCTATGCTGTATACACAAATGTTTCACAAGGATATTTAATTCATAAACATTTTAAAGTATAAAAATGAATGTCCCTTTTTTCAAAGTATTAGTATTCTAAAAAATTTATAAATGATGTGTTTACACTGATAGGCTATGAAAGAAATGAAGGACTGTTTTTTCCAGCTGTTTGAGTAGAGATTGGGGAGCACCAGGAGACAGTGTAAAATATTAATAAGATAATGTTGTTGGGTCAATTGGTATAGTTAGTCCAGTACCCATTAGTTAGCAGATGGCTTTAAACAAAGCTACACATGCAGGAGCATCTTTGTACCAGGTCACCCAGCTTACAAAGCTACACAGAGCCACTTTCCTAGTTTAAGACTAATACTAGTCACTTTATTCTAGAACTACAATTTAGATAGGAAAGTTTAGAGATAGGATAGTATTTCTGAGCTAACTAAGGATGGACACAGATAGTGAGAGGCCATCTGTGTCATGGTGCCAAGATGAGTACAGTGTGTCCTCCTTTTTGGTGCATGCAGGGAGTTGTGGAAGGGAGTGAATGGAAGGAAGGAAGTTTTCCCTGAGAATACAGTCTGCATATCAGAGGGACAGTGGCAGAAGAGTAAACACAGGAAGGAAGCTTAGGGTTTGCCTTGTCTAGCTGTCTGACTCTGTTGCCACGTAGTCTGTAGGCTGAGGCAGAGGACAGCGTCCAGTCCTTCACCTTCCTTTCAAGAGAGCAGTGTATGACCATATTGACCAGATATGCCTGGAATCTTCATGAAACAAAGACAGGCTTTCAGTCAAAGCTCTTATTGACTGGTTTGGGCCTGTTTTATGTGGAGAAGATTTGGTTTGGGTTGAATTTGAATTAGGGGTATAGTTGTTAACTTTATAAAGATGTTTTGGTTCTAATGTGGTGTAGTTGGGAATGGAAAAAGGAAATATGTTCAGAAAGTCTCTCCCTCTAGCAAACAGTGGTGGTGATCAGTGTTCCCTCTAAGCTGAGTTAGTGTGAGCTAGCTCACAGTTTTTTAGCCTCTGGCTCACGCATTTTTGTCTCAGCTCAGGAAGGATGGCTCCAGAACAAGCTAATTGATGCAGTAGCCAATTGCTCACTCACAACTTGAATGCCGGTAACTCACAGAGTAGAATTTTTGCTCACAAGACTCCACAGCTTAGAAGGAGCATTGGTGGTGATGGAAAGTGTGGTCCAGTTACACCCGACTTATGGTGGGCTCAGTCAGGTTTTCTTGCAAGAGAGGTTCAAAGGTGGTTGGCTGCTGCCTGCCTCTGTGTGGCCACCCTGTGTTTCCTTGGTAGTCTTCCATCTAAATACTGACCAAGGCCAACTCTGCTTAGCGTCTGAAATCTAACAAGATCAGGCTAGCATGGGTCAGCCAGGTCGGGGCAACAAAGAGTAACAGCTCTCATTAAGTTTTAAGTCATCTTTATAAGCTGATAATGTGAAGGCTGTTGTGTTGAGGTTTCAATAATGCAAATTCGATTTACCACTTTTTGTCTGACTGAGCTACTTTATACAGCTCTGGTTAATTAATTTCCCCCCCCCCCAAAAAATAACTTTTCCCCATGTTAATTTTAACACCACCGTGTAGTAGTAGTCCACCGATACGACCCAGATCATGTCACCAGCTGACTGTCAGATGCCCACCATCGTTATATTGCACTAGCACTTTATGTATTGTTTTTAGACCTATTTTATTGCAATTTTATTAATTGCTTTATCTTGTTATAATACTATGTAAGCCGCCCTGAGCCTGCTTTGGCGGGGAGGGCGGGATATAAATTAATTAATTAAGTAAGTAAGTAAAATAGTAAGGCACATAAGAACATGTGGCCATGGCACTTCGTCTTTTTTATTTATTAGATATTACTGGAATATAAGAAGCTACCTTATACCGAGGCAAATCGATGTTCTGTTGAGTACAATGCAGTCTACTCTGACTGGCAGAAACTTTCAAAGTTCTCAGTCCACAGGCTTGCTTCCTGAGATTGTATTGACTGCATACTGACCTAGGATACAATGCATGTGCTCAGCTGCTAGGGGTATTTCTTGTGCATTGCATGGATTTGTCAACACTTATGGTTACCTACTCCTTGCTCAAGTTTTACAAACCTAAAAGTCAATTCTTTTCCAAGCTTTTGGGGCTGGGCGTAGACAAACGTGCAACCTTGTGCTCAAGCCTGCTTAAAGTATTTCCAAAATTATTTCATTTGACAATCCTTGTATGTTAATTCTTCTAGCTCCGGTGCTCCTTCACCTTTGGGCAAGGTAAACATTTAATATTGCTTTTCTTAGTTGTGCTTGTTTTCTAAGTGCAGGGGTTACATTATATAGAAGGGCATTCAAACAGGATTGCACCATCTGCTGTAAATCAATAACTTCTGTACAAACATGTCTTTTCATATTTGTATGGCTGTTAACAACTAAATTCATCTAATGGTAACCTATAAATTTGTTACAATCACATGAGAGTCGAGTTTGCACAATATGGTGTTCTGTTATTTATGGAGCATAGTAAACGTTCCAAATAAATGGGTATGTGCATTTATTAAAACAAGACTAGGAGTCAGTTTATACATCCATGGAGAGAACTTGCAAGGAAGTTAATTTCTCAACTTCGTCAGAGTACTGCAGTGTTGATCAGACCCCTGTATGTGCTGATAGCACATCTAATCCTGTGCTGACAAAATACATATGTGGGTTTGGTCAAGACTTTGTAGGTGGTGATATTGCCATATGTGAGAGCAGTCAGAAAATTACTGCATGGCTCACGATAAAAAATCGTTAAAAGGAGGAAATTGGTTATCTTGAATTTCTTGACTCTTTTGCATAGATTTGGGTATGCAGTGGAGCAGTTCTCTGGGTTTTAGTTGTAGTTGATACACATATCTGGAATTACAAACATAATAGATTTAGCACAAGGAGACTGGAGAAAATGGGTACAAGTAAATTCACTGAAACGTCTTTTATGGCATATGTGTAGACAGGGGTCATTTCGTAGAAAAAGAGCTAGGGGAACTCATTAGCATATGCCACCCCCCCTGACATCACCGGAAGTGTGTCATAAGGCCACACACTCCGCCCCCAACGGTCCCGGCCGGCGGGAGTGCAAGGAAGCTCCGCGGAGGCCGTCCCTGACCCCAGGCAGGCAGGGGTGGGGAGAGGCAGGGAGAAAGCAACTTACCCTCCCTCTTCTCCTGCCTCCTCCTGGCTGAATGAGGGCCGGAAGCGGGGCGGCCGGAAGCAGGGGGCGGGGCTTCGTCATGTGCCCCGCCCCCCATACCTCACCCGGGGAAACTGCGTTCCCCCGCGATTCCCCCCCGAAATGACCTCTGTGTGTAGATCTACATAAGTGATGTATGCACAGCTGACTTCATTTTGCATGCAATTATTTGTGCATACAGTCGATGTAGCTATGCAAAGTAAGTTATTTGGGGTTCAGAGAAAAGATATGGAATAAAAATGTGAATGCAAGTGTACTCTCCCAATGATTTTTCAGGCTAGTATAAAACAAACAAAAAAATTCTGAAAACCCAGCATGCATGTCCCTCAGCATGAAGCTGCCTTATACCAAGTGGCCACTTGCTTATCAAGGTCAGTAATGTTTACTCTGACTGGCAGCAGAGATCTTTACTTCACCTAGTGCCTGATCCTTTTAATTAGTATGCCAGGAACAGAGTTTGAGACCTTCTGCATGGCAAAGCAGGTGCTCTGCCACTGAGCCAAGCCCCTCTCCTATTCCTACCCCCAGGAAAAAAATTGTCACACATTAAAGCAAATTTGACACATCAGCTTTTGCAGTAAATAGGGCTGTTAAGTTAAAATATAGATTCAGGAGCCTTCTGCTTGAAACACGAAACAACCGAGACTCTAAATGTGTAACCAAGTATGTACAACATAGGATTAAAGAGATAATCAGGTTTACTTGAAAGTCTGAGTCAACTGCCAAATTTTGGGCAAGCATAGGCTTGCCTCTAAGAATATGGGAATGCTGCTGAATCCTAGAGTCCATCTAGGTCTGACCAAGAGTTCATCTAGGAACATTGTATTCCCTGTATTGACTAGATGGATGCTTCTAGCAAGTACATAAATGTCACAAGGACAACAGCCCCCCGTCAAGGGATTAGTGACAGGTCAGGCCAAAACAAAACATACACGACTGGGAAGTGAATCCTCACTGCCTAGGGTAATGAGCCACCACGAGCCCGTCTGGCTAACCCTTGAGCTGAGAGGCCAAGGGACCAGGTCTGTAGCCCTGCCAGGTATTAATCAAGAAGCCAGCCCTGCAAGGTAGGTCATGTTCAAAGTGAGATCCAAAAACAGTTACTTTGGTAGCTGCAGCCAAAATAAGCCAAGGTACTGGGTTTAGACTGAGGCCCCCAAACCCAAATAACACCACCGAAGTATAATTAATAAAGTTTATTAAAAGAAATATGCAAAAAATGTACAAATATAAGTACAGTACAAAACAAGGAAGAAAATAATAAAATATAAATAACTAACTGAAGATAATTATATAGACTTGTTGGTCCTTTGACCTAGATGTTATCTGACCAGACTGAAACACAGAGTCCAGGTAAAGTTTCAAAGTCCAAAATCCATGAGGCAGGTATTCCAGCCATGGAAGGCCCAGCCTAGTTGAAAGGATGGCCCAAAGGTACAAACTGGAATGAATGAACTTCCTTTTTGCTAGACTGTCCGCAGCTGGCCTGATCCTGGTTGACCAATCCAGGTATGTTGCTAAGAATGCTCAAAGTCAAGGAAGCACTCACCTCTGCCCAGAGAATACAAGTGTAAAATTCCCTCCTGGTCTCTGGCCTTGAAGCTTCCCTAATCTCATTTGAACCTGTGTCCATCTCATCCCTTGTCTTTCTCTCTGAACTGTAAGTCATCATGACATTAGTTTCCCACACAGGACCTTCTGTAAATTACTACACCCCAAAACCTGAACCAATGTTTTAAAAAGGCTAAGAAATGGCTAGGACAAGGCCAGTTTCTTCACACACACACATACACACACACCCCAACCACACTTTGCTGCAGCAAACGCATTCCATTTATCTGTCATGGCTAATAGTCACTGATAGTCAGATTCTCAGAGGGTATGATTTGCATTTAAAACCATCTGAGTCAATGATTGTTGCTAGATTTTGTGGCACCAAATTTTTAAAACTTGTCTTTGCTTTGTAGAATACTCTGTTTTGACTAAAAACTACTTTCCAACAATTTTATTAGGTGACCCCTATTTTACCATTATGAGTACTAGAAAACTATTTTGTCTGTTTCTTATCCATTTTTTTCCTGAGCTAAAAATCCTCAAACCTTGTTTGCCTTTCCCTTCCTGCTTTTGTTGTATCAATATATTTAATTTTAACATGGCCATATCTGTGGATAAATCCAGAGATTATAGCCATGAGCATATGAGACAGGTTTTTTTACAAACCTGAAACAGCCTCAGGACTACAGAAAAGATCTGAATTTTTTTAAAAGGGGGATTAAACCCCCCAAATAATCAAAAGATCACCTGTACCTTTAATAAATTAATGTCTTCAGCAGTGACTATTGTGAGGGTTCCTACACAACCACAACAGTATTGCCAGGCTTCAAGCCTTGGTTTCTCTCAGTAAAAGTCAAGGCAGAAGGCCCTTTTCAGGGCTGTTTTGACCTTTGAGGGAGGACTAATTGGGGCCAGTCCTGGAAATGACCACCATTCTGCTTGCATGACTCAACTAGGACTGGTTATTCAGCAGCAGCCACCACAAGAAAGCTAGTGTGGTCTAGTAGTTAGAGCTTTAGACTAGGATCTGGAAGACCCAAGTTCAAATGCATGTAGGTGGGGAAGGAAGCGCATAATGCTGTCTTCCCTCACTGCCAGAGGGGGAAGGAAGCTGGGGAGTCACTGGTGGAGGGGGGAGTGGCAGAGCAGCAGGAAAGGGACAGGTGACCAGGCAGAGCTGGGAGCGTATGATGGGTAGGTAGCCAGTGGTAGGGAGGAGGCAGGTGCTAAGGAGCAGTTGGAGTGCATTGTTGAAAGACACCTGCCAGGAGGGACAAAAGGAAGATGATGGAGTAAATGAGCACTGAGCCCCAGTGAAGTTTAAGTAGGGACAAAGGCTGTAGCTGGTTGCAGGCTCCCTTTGAGCACAAATACAGTCATTGCTCAGCACCCACTCCTCCAGCTGTGGACTTCTTTTCTCCTGCTGGCAGGGCAGAGGCGGCAACAGGGAAGGCAGACTGAAGAAAAAGTGGGCAGTGGGAGGGCAAGGTTAAGTTAGGACCAGTGTTGGGGTAAGGGGATAAGAAGGAGGGTGCGGAAGAGAAAAGATGGGAGCAGGAGACAGTGGGAGGAAGGGGTGGAGAAAGTGGTGTGTCAGAATTTCCCCTGTGAGTTTCTCAGGGGTGTCCGCTTGTTAAATGTACTTTATTGTCTTTATATATTTATAGTCAGCTCCTCGTTCTCTTTTGCATTTGCTTTATTGACAATTTTTGGCAGAGGTTTCCCCCCCCCTCTCTTTTCCCCTTTCAATCAAGACTGTACAGGATGACTTCTTGTTTTTATAGCTTCCTTGAGTCTGATTGTTGACCATGCTGCCATCTGTTTCATTTAGATATTGTGGGGAAAAACTGGTTGATCCAAACCACAGTATGTTGCACAAACCTTGATTACTCTACCAGATGGACATATGCCACAGTTCATTCATAAATCCCACTCAGCTGCTTTCCCACTTCCAGGCAGAATCCCTGATGAAACCTTATTGTGAATGCATCTCACTTCCTATTGGTCAGCTGCAATAAGGAGAAGAGAGGGCAGAGAAGTACAGGGCAAGCCAGACAAACTGTTCCTTGCTGTGTCTTTTTGGTCTAGCTACATCACTGAACTCCTGAACTATTAAACTCTGAAGTCTTATTTTGAAACCTGGATATACATTTACCCAGGTATAATTAAGATTTGATTTAATGTATTACTTATCTTAACATTCCAGTGGCAAAAGCCACATTCAGTGGTCTGAATGCTTACTCAGATGGCAACAAATGTCCCAAGTCTTTCGTCTGTGCCTGACTTTTCATGCTGTGCTATTTTGGTACGATCATTGTACCATGTGAAATGTGTGGGACTGAGTCCTGGAGGGGAATTGGCAAAAGTGTTGGCTTGGATCCAGCTGAATGTTTACATGGGTGGAAGTATTTCCAACCACTGAGCATGACTTCCTCACCTCTCTGCTCCCATTGCAGTCTGAAGTGCTGCTTGGGGAGGGGGCTTTTGGGACTTCAGTGAGAGGGAGAGGTGCAGAAGTCATGATCTGCTGATCCAAGCCACTCTGTTTTTCCTACAAGAATCAGTGTGGACTTCGTTTCTCTTTCCC